AGTTCTTGTTCGGGCTGGTTCCGTCGATTTTTCCCCCGAACGTCAATCAAGTTTTCTGGGCAGACTTTGTGGTTCTCCCAGAGCCTCTTGGATGTGGAACCTGGCGGTGGACCGCACATTCGTGGGGGGGGGCGCTATCGGAAGTCACGCGCGGCCGTGCCAGCCCAGCACTCCAGGCGGCGACTGTCCTAGGAACGCAGCGGGCGCTGTAACGTGTGGCGTCATGTGCCCCTAGTCGTTCAGCGTGGCGCGGTCAAAACGGCGGGCCACGTCAATCAGTGTCTCCCGTCTGGATCCTGAGAAATCGCGTCTTGTAGCCCTCTTGAGACGCCCTCTGGGCGCTCCTGTGGCAGTATTCGGGGCCCTCTTCTGGGCTCTCTCTCGCGACCTTGGGGGATTATTTTGAGGTTTTAGAAGGTCATCTGAAGAGAGAGGCGAGAAACTCGGCATCGTTGAATCAACCATTGTAATTGAGCGATTTGGGCCTGTTAGGGGTATCCTTGGGAGGCTTCGGACCCCTTGATAGCCGTGTTGTCCATCTTGGTGCAGCTTGGGCTCTCTTGTGCCATCCTGGAGGCCATCCTGGGCTTCCTAGTGCCATCTTGAAGCCACCTTAGGCGCTCTGACCCCATGTGGCTCCCCCGTCCAGGCCCAGGGGAGGGGGGTTATGGGGGAGAATGTCAAGTTCCCAATGGGAACGCAACAGGCTGCCTCGCTCACTCTCACCAGTCTTCCCATCGTAGAAGTAGCACCGGAGACTCAGCCTATAGCGGAGACCCATGCCAAGAAGCACCCTGCTTGCCTTCAGGGTGCCCTGGGCTTCTTGGGCTTCGATGGCTCTGCCATGGAAAGCGCGGCGTTCCCCACACCAACAGTCGATGGACGCCTTGGGGTCTCAGGGTGGGGCTTCTCGTGGAAGGTCTCTTGTGGTCGGGCCCCTGCTGTAGCACCAGAGACTCAGCCTACAGTTCCGTTTTTAATACATGCTCCGCGTGCGGATCATGTATCAAACATGCAGGGATTTAGTATATCAAATGCAACGATGAGTCCATGCATAGGTTTATTCATACATTGATCATGCATTGAACATCCAACACCGAGTGGGAGCCGCCGCTCGCGCGGGGCGCGTGGTGCCCCTAAGGTGCGCCGTGCGCACCGGGGGTCCTCCGCGCGCGCCAAGTGCGCGAGGTGCCCCCGGGGAGCCGGAGCGTGCCAGGCGCGCCAGTGCACCGGGCTGGACGCCCGAAGTGGGTACGGAAAGAAGGGGCACAATGCCGCAGTTCTTGTTCATTTTGAACAGGATTCTTGGCGAGATTTTTTTCTCGGCGAGAACCATCGACGGAAAGAATGGGCACAATGCCGCAGTTCCTGTTCATTTTGAACAGAATTCTTGGCGAGATTTTTTTTTCTCGGCGAGAACCATCGACGGAAAGAATGGGCACAATGCCGCAGTTCCTGTTCATTTTGAACAGGATTCTTGGCGAGAGCTTCTTTATTCTCGGCGAGAACCATCGACGGAAAGAATGGGCACAATGCCGCAGTTCTTGTTCATTTTGAACAGGATTCTTGGCGAGAGCTTCTTTATTCTCGGCGAGAACCATCGACGGAAAGAATGGGCACAATGCCGCAGTTCTTGCTCATTTTGAACAGGGTTCTTGGCGAGAATTTCTTTTTTCTCGGCGAGAGCCATTGAGGGCCATCCTGGACCATCGGGCAAAAAAGGCACGCACGAAATCGAAAAATGCACGGGAAATGGACGTCCGAGCGACGGCAAGTTGGGGTCCCCAGTCGGGACGACCGACATGGGTACGGAAAGAACGGGTACATCGCCCAACAGCAGTTTCTATTCATCTTGAACAGGATTCGCTGTCCACGCCGCCGCTGCCTGTGTCCATTCGAGACAGGAGGCCGCCTGCCCAACAGCGGCCGCCGATGGTTTGGGACAACATTTGTTGTTGGGCATTGTACCCATTTTTTCCGTACCCATTTCGGGCGTCCAAACCTGGCTGAGCACACTGGGCAAGCTGTCGACCCCGCGGCCGTGCTCGTCAGACACCATGGCAGAGTGGGGGCAGGGCGGCCAGCATGGTGTACAGGGTGTGCACCCTCAGTGACTTGTCCTTCGTCTCTGGCGGGGTATGGTGGGGCAGCGCGCAGCGGACACGTAGGCTCGCACCCCCGCGGTCCGTGTCAGACGTTGACGCGTAGCGCTCCCAGGGGTTCTGCTCACGGTGCAGATTTCGCCGCCACGTGCACCTCATTCGTGTCCGTGGGAATTGGAGGCAGGCCGAGCGGGGGAGGGTGTTCACAACAGAAACAGCGGTACGCAGCACCCCGCAGTGGCGGATAAGAGGGAGGGGGGCGCGGCCTCCCGCCACCACTGCTTTTTCCTGACCCCAGGGGGGGGGGTCTGGGTCTCTTCCCCCCTCGGCGCGCCGCCGAGCAGCAGTCAGCCCCCAAACGCAGCAGCCCGACCCGCGCCACCCGCCGCCTGCCCGGG